TCCAAATTTAAACTTTCCATGAGCACTCCATACTCCATAGCAATGAAAACAAACCAGTAAATCTTGCTTCATGAATAAAAGACAAAGATCTTCATCAGTTTATGTCGAACTAATTCTTACTAGATAACCTGCTTTAATCTCCTCTGGAAGATTTAGGATCTAATATCCAGGAAATGATTTCTTCTTTAAATGATTTAACGATTTTGTTCAGTAGATTAACACAACCCACTACAATACCTTCACCCCATCTAAAAAAAAACTCAGGGCACATTCAACATGCTGTATCTAAATCTAGTATTAACTTGAAAAACAAGCAAATTCATTAGAAATTAGTTAACAAACAAACTAAACTAAGGAAACAAACACACCACATGCATTACGTTCAAATGAAGAACCAACTTTTACTTATAAAATGGTTTTTAACGTTTTAACATTAGAAAAATAAAAAAACAGTGATAGTCAGAACAAGAGCTTAAAACTAATTTGCAACCTTTCATAATGTGAACTGTTCTAACTTAAAATAGTCGGATTTCTCCAAAATTATTTTTTAACTATAATTTCTTGGGTATGTGCCCATGGAACCTCACAAATATGATATAATAATAATTCCATGGATATTGGATAATTTCCCCACAACATTAATAAATTCACACCTACTCAAAGTAAAAATTTACTTTTTATTTATGATTTAATTTAAATTTACCGGCGTCACGACCTGAGCATCGACTTGGCGCTGACCCTGCATTGCCATTCTCGTTCTAATTCTGCAAAATTAAATATTATAATCACAGATTTGATTTCTTATTAAATTCATTGATTGAATTGATTAGATCCTGGAAAACTGTGATTTCCAGGGGGGGCTGATTCAGGCTCTACACTACAGCCTCAAAACATTTAACAACTTTTTTGTATTACGCCACTGTTTAATCTTTAAAATTCAAATTAGAAAAACTGATTAGTCTTTAGAAAACCGATTAGTCTTTAGCATCTCCAATTCCGTCAGCATTAATGGCAAATGTTGCCTCTCCTTCGGGTAGACAAGGACTGTCGTAGATCTTACATATTCTAGTCTCTCCTCGGCCCTTTCTAAAATATAAAATCCTTAATTTAAAGAAATTAATCCGTAAAAAATGCAACTATGTTTTTGATCTGTTCAACGCTTTTACTTATTCTATTTTTAAGGTTAAAATTCAATTTCTGAACTATAAATCAGAAGCAAACAAGAAGTAAAGATCAGTAA